CGGGGGGGGGAGGGGCCGTGCGCGTGCCTGTGTGTGTGCCGCGCCGGGGGGGGGGGTGTGGGGCCATGTGTGTCCGCGCCAGGGAGTTTGCGCCAGTGCGCATGCTCAGTTGCTTTGTCGTTTATTGTGGTTGTTGTTGTGTGTTTTTGATTTCTGAGTGGATTAGTTTGTACCTTGTTGGTTGCCCTTGGGGCATGGGAAGTTTGGTGGCGTTTCGTTGGGGGGTTTTTGAGTTTTGTTTCGCCATACGACGCCAGGAGGAAATTTATATATATAGATTTTATATAATATGTTATGCACCGGTTGTTGATGTTTTTAACTGTGATGATCGTTTTAATTATAATTTGTATATTTGTTTTTGTATATTTTTGTATACTATGTGTAATGTATAAAGGCATCGAATTCTGCCTTCTTTGTAAGCCGCCCTGAGTCCCCCTCCGGGGGCTGAGAAGGGCGGGGTAAAAGTACCATAAATAAATAAATAAATAAATAAATAAATAAATTACCCTGTTTAGCTTCCAAGAACAGATAGTATCCGATGCCTCTAAGATATTTCAGTCAATCACTATACTACGTATATTATTTTCCTCTGCTAGAATTATCACCACCGATTCCACATTTGCAGCCCCGAATGAGTTACATTCTCTACTTTTGTTTCCAACCATATCCTGAAAAGATGTAAAATCCACTTTTTAAAAAATTGGTTACTGTGAGTACAGCCACGTAGTTAAAATGCTGATTATCTCTTCATCCATTTCTGAGAAAAACATACTCTGCTTGTTTTTTTTCTGTCTTGCTCAGTAGAAATTGCAATCAAAACCTATCCCGATCTTTGAATCATAGTATTAACTGTGCTAACTGCTGCAGCAGCACAAATCCTTTTAGCAGCAGAGGGTAGCTAAGTGTCAGACTGTGTAAAATTAGTTCCACTTCCAGTTTAGAGAAATATTACTGGAAAGCCTCTTCCTTGTTGTAAAATTGGTGCAGATGTCATTACATTGCAACTTGCACCTGGGCCCTGTGGTTGTGGCATAAGTGCAGCAGCAATAATAATTACTAGCTGTCCCCTGCCATGCGTTGCTGTGGCCCAGTCTGATGATCTGGAAAATAAAGTAATTAGAAAGTGTTGGTTTCTAATATATGTAATTTCTTTATGCTTGTATTGATGTAGAGATTGCCTGGTTGGCCTACTCTGGAACATGCAGCATAGAATTGTCCTTGTTTAGGGGTGCCTTTCAAATCTATGATACTATATCTCTCTGTGTGTGAATCATATATATCTATATCTATGGCTGGATGGCTCTTTGCCAGGAGGGCTTTGATTACGTTTCCTTGCCCTGGTGAAGGGAGTTGGACTGGATGGCCTTAAGTATTTTCAGTTGGTTATGGGGGTTCTGTGTGGGAAATTTGCCCCAATTCTGTCATTCGTGGGGTTCAGAATGCTCTTTGATTGTAGGTGAACTATAAATCCCAGTAACTACAACTCCCAAATGTCAAGGTCTATTTCCTCCAACTCCATCTGTGTTCATATTTGGGCATATGGAATATTTGTGCCAAGTTTGGTCCAGATACATCATTGTTTGAGTCCACGGTGCTCTCTGGATGTAGGTGAATTACAAATCCCAAATTCAAGGTCAATGCCCACCAAACGCTTCCGGTGTTTTCTGTTGGTCATGGGAGTCCTGTATGCCATGTTTGGTTCAATTCCATCATTGGTGGAGTTCAGAATGCTCTTTGGTTGTAGGTGAACTATAAATCCCAGCAACTACAACTCCCAAATGACAAACTCAATTTTTTTGAGTGAAGGACATGCATTGGGTTGTTAGGTGTATGCTGTCCAAATTTAGTGTGAATTCCCCCAGTGGTTTTTGAGTTCTGTTAATCCCACAAACGAACATTACATTTTTATTTATATAGATAATCATAATTTTATTTATATTCTGCCCTCTCTCCCCGAGGGCACTCAGAGCGGATTACAACAAAAGATGGCAAACGTTCAAGTCAGAGGAGATGACTTGTAGAGGATCACAGGTTTGTCACTGATTGGCGAAAATATCCATTTGTTCTAATCCTGGGGGAGAAAAGAAGCTGTAATCTGTCTCTGCCACATTCATCCCCCAGTTAATCTGAAATGACCTCTTTTCCTGTGTAGAAATCACCACTGCCACCCCCACCCCAACCTGTGGCTTGGCCTGCTATTCCCCATCAAACTGGTGATTTGACAACACCGCAATTATCTAATGCTGTCTAGTGTCTTTTCTTTCTTGTTCCCTAGCTTTGGAGAAAGCTGACAACGAGGCCCTGGCTATGCGCAAACAGGCTGAAGGACTGACCAAGGAGTATGACAGACTGCTGGAGGAACATGCCAAGCTCCAGGTACCGGCAGGAGGGGGTGGGGGGATTGGGTTGGCCAAAAACTGACAAATTGCTGCCTCGTCTCGCTAGGCTGTTAGGAAACGGAAACCAACACCTATCATGCTTCCTAAGTATTTGCTGCCATTGAAGCTGCTGTGAGAGGATGCATTATAGATAAAGCCCAGAAGAAGGCAACCATGGCACATGTGTCTTTAGACTCTGTAGCCAACTTGCAGAAAGTACGTGACTCTGGTCACACATAGAGGTACAGTACAAAGGGCATGATCCACATCTTCTATGAAGGAAGGTGAGTCCTTGCCCTTTTTATGTCATGAATACTTTTTGAACCTTAAAAACGTTATTTAACCATGGGAATTCTCTGTGCCAAGTTGGAGTGCATTGCATGGCTGCATGAGTTCAGAGTGCTTTGGGATGGGAGAGGACTATATATCCCAGCAGTTGCCAAGGTCTATGTATCACAGTTATCTCCAGTATTTTCTGTTCACCATGGGAATTCTCTGTGCCAAGTTAGAGTGCATTGCATGGCTGCATGAGTTCAGAATGCTTTGGGATGGGAGAGGACTATATATCCCAGCAGTTGCCAAGGTCTATGTATCACAGTTATCTCCAGTATTTTCTGTTCACCATGGGAATTCTCTGTGCCAAGTTGGAGTGCATTGCATGGCTGCATGAGTTCAGAATGCTTTGGGATGGGAGAGGACTATATATCCCAGCAGTTGCCAAGGTCTATGTATCACAGTTATCTCCAGTATTTTCTGTTCACCATGGGAATTCTCTGTGCCAAGTTAGAGTGCATTGCATGGCTGCATGAGTTCAGAATGCTTTGGGATGGGAGAGGACTATATATCCCAGCAGTTGCCAAGGTCTATGTATCACAGTTATCTCCAGTATTTTCTGTTCACCATGGGAATTCTCTGTGCCAAGTTGGAGTGCATTGCATGGCTGCATGAGTTCAGAATGCTTTGGGATGGGAGAGGACTATATATCCCAGCAGTTCCAAAATGCCAAGGTACCCCGATCCTCTCCAGTAATTTCTGTTGGTTATGAGAGTTCTATATGCCAAGCTTCTTCAATTCCATTTTTGTTGGAGTTCAGAATGCCCTTTTTTTGGCTGAGGAACTATAAATCCCAGCAACTACAACACCCAAATGTCAAGATCCATTTCCCCCAAATTCCACCATTTTTTAAATTTGGGCATATTGAGTATTCATGCCAAGTTTGGTCCAGATCCATAGTCATTTGGGTTCTCAGTGCTTTCCGGATGTAGGTGAACTACATCTCCCATAAATCACTGTCAACTCCTCCCAAACTCCTCCAGTATTTTCTGTTGGTTATGGGAGTTCTATGTGCCAAGTTTGGTCCAGGTCTGTAATTCGTGGGGGATCTCAGTGGTCTGTAGAAGTCAGAGCTGAATTGGTTGAAGGTACCGCAAATCCCATCATCAATTATCCATACTCCCCTAAACATATTTTTTTTGTGATTAATCACTATGCTTTAATTATGTTCAATTTGTAACAATGAAAATACATCCTGCATATTAGATATTTGCATTAGAATTCATAAGAGTAGCAAAATTATTTATGAAGTAGCAACGAAAATATAGTTGGGGGTCACCACAACACGAGGAACTTTATTTGGGGGTCACTGAATTAGAAAGGTTGAGAACCACTGCTCTATAGCATAAAGAGCTTTGACTATGTAAACAGAATTTTTAGGTCAGTTCTCATCAGCGCCTCTTTCTTCATTAAATTCTTCACCTCCTTTGTTCTCTATATTGCAGTTTTCCAGGTCTCATTTTTGGGGTGGTGTCTTCAGCCTTGCCAGACCTTTAGGCCCCAGCCAGACCCCAAACATACAATTCATTCATTACATTTTCTCACTCCCAGGTTTATTTACTGGAAGCTTCGTTCTGGCACATAGGTTTCTCCCTCAGAGCAACCACCTGCCCTTCACTAACCTAGTGAATGCAGAACCTGGTCCAATTATTTTTCTGACCTTCAACTCTCAGAAATCTCCGCCAGCATGGCCAGTGATTTCGGAGAAATGTAGACCAAGATTACCTTTTCAGGACAGAACAGATGAAGGGAGAAGACTGTGATTGATCTAGAGCAGTGGTTCTCAACCTGTGGGTTCCCAGATGTTTTGGCCTTCAACTCCCAGAAATCCCAACAGCTAGTAAACTGGCTGGGATGTCTGGGAGTTGTAGGCCAAAACACCTGGGGACCCACAGGTTGAGAACCACTGTTCTAGAGTGCGATAGTCAATGGTGAATTTCCAAGTGGAAATGCTTCTTCTGTAGCCATTCCCTGGGGATCTTGGGATTTCAGTATTTTGTGAGGCAGGAAATATAAAGTGTCCCCAACAAAATTGCTCCATGAATTATTTTTCCTTCTAGAGCAGTGGTTCTCAACCTGTGGGGTCCCAATGTGTTTTGGCCTGCAACTCCCACTTATCCACATCTGAAAAGATACGTTCTCTCTAGCAATTTTCTACAGCTTTCTTCTTCTGCTGGAAGATGACCATAGAGTTATAAGGAAAGACAACATGCTAGAGCAGTGGTTCTCAACCTGTTGGTCCCCAGATGTTTTGGCCTACAACTCCCAGAAATCCCAGCCAGTTTTCCAGCTGTTAGGATTTCTGGGAGTTGAAGGCCAAAACATCTGGGGACCCACATGTTGAAAACCACTGTTCTAGAGGTAAACTGTTTTTCATAAAGAAATACATAGCTTACAAGTGTTTGAGATTTCAAGGAAATTGAGGATGAACCTGTAATCCTTCAGTTCCTAGTTGCCGTCTCAGTTCTACTCTTCTTTTCCTTCTCTTTAAAAAAACAAACACCCCAGTTGTCCTCAAAGCCAATTAGAATTTCCCTCATGAGAGTTACTCTCTTGACCAGGGGTCCTCAAACTTTTTAAACAGAGGGCCAGGTCACAGTCCCTCAAACTGTTGGAGGGCCGGATTATAATTTGAAAATAACATGAATGAATTCCTATGCATGCTGCACATATCTTATTTGTAGTGCATAGGAAAACAATACAATAACTGAAATGAAGAACAATTTTAGCAAATATAAACTTTACCTCACTACCTCTGAGGATGCTTGCCATAGATGCAGGTGAAACGTCAGGAGAGAATGCCTCTAGAACATGGCCATATAGCCCGAAAAAACCTACAACAACCCAGTGATTCCAGCCATGAAAGCCTTCGACAATACAATAAACTTAATAGTATTTCAATGGGAAGTGTGGGCCTCCTTTTGGCTGATGAGATAGGATTGTTGTTGTTGTTGTTGTTGTTGTGTGATTTCAAGTCGTTTCAGACTTAGGTTGACCCTGAGTGAGGGCCAGATAAATGACCTTGGAGGGCCGCATCTGGCCCTTGGGACTTAGTTTGAGGACCCCTGCTCTTGACCTTTGGGAACCTAACTCTATCAAAGTTTCTTTTTCAACTTTTCTCTTGGTTTGTTTCTAATAATGATTCTAACATATGTCTGTTGTGGAAGTCATGGAACAGCTCATGTCTGCAGCTTTGGAGCCCCCATAATTCTACTGTTCCCCACCAAAAACACCACTACAAAAGAAGAAATACCTTATTCTCATGGAATGGGAGTGCACAGAAATTCCAGTGTGCCCATAGACACTCTTTGATTCCTGGCTAAAGATATGAACTCTTACAAGATTTCTTGTGCCACTCTGAATCAGTTTATAAGACTGATGAGAATTAAATTGCAAGCCCAGCATGCGCACACACATACACTATGTTTCCCTCTCTCTTAACACACACGTATGATTAAAAATAATCTAGCATCTGTTGCCAGGACAACCTAATCTCCGTGCAGTGGTTGCGAAGAACGTTACAGCGTAGTTTGGCTGTGGTTTCCTCCTCTCCCTCTTGTCTTGGGTTCCAGGGAAGAGGCGGATAACTAGTTGGAGGCCTTCCCTGGGAACCTTCCTGGCAAACATCCCTCTACGTTTGCAGTGGCACGTAAGCATGTCATAAGACTGCCTCACCTGGGAGCAGCCTGATAAAGGTGAAGGAGCAGTCAGGCCCAGCATGCTATGAGGAAGTGACTGAATAAGATAGGTTCAGGAGCAGGGCTTGGGCCCTTTCCTTTCACTGGTAGGCAAGAGGTGGCGCCCACAAAGATGTAAGGGATACTGAGGACTTTCAGACCTGACTAGTTTCCCCAAAGTTTAGAACTTTTTTGGAGAAAGCTCCCAATTCTTGTTTTTGGACCAAAGAAATGTTGCCAGAGTTGGGTGAATCACAAGAGCAGAGACCTTTCTTTGTGTACACATCTCTCTGGTGCTCCTCCAGTTTCCCTTCTTGTCTTTCCAACTTAATTCTGGTATTACCACGTTCCATTCCTACCAGGTTCACCAAGGTACCAGCCAACTTATTATCTAGGCTCTTAGAGTGAGATGAATATTTTGAAGAGATTCCTGGTATCTTCCATATGTCAGTCTGGCTGGGTGCTCTTCTCCATAGTTATGCTGGAATGAGAATAATATGGAGAAAATGATGCTTCTGCCTCTTCACTTTGTGCTTCCTTGCTACAACTTTGTGCTTCTACCATTTAAAGTTGATCTTTCTTTTTATTGTTCCATGTGAATTCATTATTTTGTTTATAAAGTACATTAACTTATTTAAAAACGTGTAACAAAAATGGGTAGTGGTGGTGGAATTGATTAATTGCATTCCAGTGGAAAATTCACTGAGATAAGAGTATTTATTTGTCGTGTCAGGGCAACCAGTCAATTGTATTACATTTCTAACAGAACAAAACAAACAGACAAAATACAAAATTTGCCAGTTTGGTAGTTGATTAAATGTCCTTTGACCAGTATCTGGCCACTTGGAGTGCTTCTGGTGTTGCTGCAAGAAGGTCCTCCATTGTGCATGTGGCAGGGCTCAGGGTGTATTGCAGCAGGTGGTCAGTGGTTTGCTCTTCTCCACACTCGCATGTTGTGGATTCCACTTTGTGCCCCCATTTCTGCATC